GGGAGGGAGCCGCAGGAAGAGCAGGTTGGAGATGTTTGACTGAGACTTCGAGCTCTGTCTCAGCCATAAGTTAAGCGGAGATGCTTCTAGCCCTCTCTGGGGTCCCAGAGAACTTCTAATACAACTAATAACAACAACAATAATAATAATCATGACCACTATTTGAAAGCATAGGGCTAAGTCATTTATGCATGTTCTCTCAATCCTCCCAGGAGTTGCCATTAGTAGGCCCATTATACAGATGAAGAAACTGATGTTTAGTAAAGTGAAATAACTTTCTCAAAGCCACACGCCTAGTAAGTAGACATAGGTTGAGTGAAAGGCTGTCTGAGTCCCATCCTCCAGCTCTTAACCACTGGGCTATATCGCCTCCCCAGGCCTTGCAATGGACAGCAGCACCCCATGCCCCACCCCACCCCACACGCGCTCATCACCAGCCTTTCTGCTGTTCCCAAGGCCCCTTCCAGCCTGCACACAGCCATTCTCCACTGCGACTCTCTTTTTCCATTTCACCCTTCGCTGGATCATTTTATGCCTCTATTCCCTCTGCTAATTCAAACTAATTAAAGTATAAAATAGAATAATTGCTTCCATCCCCATACTCTGTTTCTATCCACCTAGAGTACAGAGTTAGGTTCCCTTTCTAGGAGTGGCCAGCCTGAGAAGTTGGGTGGAAACTGGGGCTATCAAGTTTCTTTTCATCTGGTCGCTTGGTTTTTCACTTGGCTTGCAGCCTGATTTTCCCTGGACTTGCTGTCTGACTTCCATTAGACACTGAAGATATGGGAGTGACTTGTATTCCCTCCCATAACATCTGTCAGTTTGCTCTTGAGGAAGCTGGCTGGACTTTCTAGGGAAGAGCCAGGAATCTTATCAGTGGAAAGCCTGGACAATTAACAGGATTGGGAAATCAGTTTCCAAATTTTCCCCTGGGACTGGCTAGCCTTAGATCTATTAACAGTACATTAACTCCAATTGTTAGGCAGTGGCACTAAAGACCCAACACTTCTGACTAGTCCTATTCTATTTCTTAATTACATTTAATTAACACACACATGCACACACATACAGGAAGAGAGAGAGAGAATGAGCTGTATTGAATTGTTCTAGCTCTGTGGGGAGATGAAAACCTATCTAGGCAAAACTTGAGACCTGAGACTTGGTTCTCCTCTCACATGGTGTCATGAATACAATAGCTACTATGTTTGGGGATGGGGGAAGGGGACAGAGAAAGAAGAGTTGGGGACAAGGTGAAGGCAGGGATGAGAGTAGACTGCCCAGAAATTTAGTATAAAGTGATGGGAAGGCATAGTCCCATGATGTCTTATAGGGTTTTAGGTCTTTTAGAGAACTCCAAAGCCCTAAGTTGCTTTCTCAGAACGGACACACTCTTGTCCATAACTAGCCAGCATTCTGGCCCCTTCTGCGGTGTTCACCCTTCAGGGAAGCAGTTCACGTGAATATATACAGCCTCGCAAACTTTAAGGCTGTTTCCTGTGCTTGTGGAGTTGTCTTTGGAAAGGAGGAGAGGCCCAGCCCCAAGACCTTGGGCCAGCCCCTTTACGATCTGAAAGAGACTGGAGAGTTGGATTTATTTTCTCTGTCTTTACAGGTGAGGAAACCGAGTGCCTGAGAAGTGAAGGGCCCAGGTCACCCAGCTTGTCGGAAGTGGGACCAGGACTAGAACACAGGCCTCCTGACAGCCTGAGGCCTCCCGGGTGTGCCACCTTGCCACTTTACCGCCTTCTGATCACACTCATAGTCACTATCCTCCTGAGTCATGGAACCGTAATGTCTGAGACCTGAAAGGGGTCATGAAAAATCTTCACGCTGACTATTTGTGTGGTGCTTGGGGCGGTGCAAATCCACTTCCCATTTGTTGTCTCTGCTGAGCCTCAGGTTGACCCCGTGAGACACACTGAGGCAAAGTGACTTGTCTAAGGATGCCAGCTATGAAGTGTTGAGATAGGATCCAAATCAGAGCTTCGGACTTCAGAGACAACCCTGTTCTCTGGTGCAACTCCTTTATTTACAAGGGAGGTAACTGAAAGCGAGAGAGCGTCGTACTTCTGGTTATAGTGAAACCTGAACTAGAACCCAAGACATTGGACTATGTTTTCATTGATTGTTCTGTTGACATACATTAAAGAGTTTCCTTTAAGAGGTCTGTGAACCTTCTGTACTCATAGCTGCTCAGACTCAGACCGATGGGCCTTCTGAGCTGTTGTTGGCCCTCATCCCTGGTCCCAGCCCCCAGTGAAATCACCTGGCTACCTATTTCAACACGATTTATAGCTCTCCAGGTGACAGGCCTCAGTGCTCCACCACAAATACCCCTTAGACTCTGCCTGCTGCTCACAGCTCCACCTGGTATAGTGTTTCCCTGGACAAATATGTCACCTCCTAGAGACAGCCCATGGCATTCAACCCAAATTCTTCCTCTCTCTGCTTAGTATGACTGTCTACTACTGAACCCTTCTGTCCAGTGCAGAAAGTAATAAGAGCTGATAGCTGAGGCAGAATGAGAGGACATTTAGAAATAAAGGATATGAGCCCTGGCTGGTGTGGCTCAGTGGATTGAGTGTCGGCCTGTCTATGAAAAGGTTGCCAGTTCAAGTCCCAGTCAGAGCACATGTCTGGTTTATGTGCCAGGTCCCCTGTTGGGGGTGTGTGAGAGGCAACTGATCAAAGTTTCTCTTGCACATCAATGTTTCTCTCCCTCTCTTTCTCCCTCTCTGCTCCTCTCTCTAAAAATAAATAAATAAAATCTTTAAAAAAAAAGAAAGGAAATAAGCGACATGGACACTTGGTTTAGCCAGGGCTGATGTTATCAGAGGTGACGTCAGATACTGTCTCAAGAGGTCATTATATTCCTTAAAGGCTACTCTTCAGCCTCCGTCCCTGGCCTAGGTCCTCTCCTTTGGCCACATTTTGAATGCAATTTCAGAAAGCATCCCATTTGAGAGAAAGATATGCAACCAAAAAAAGCGTGTCTTGGAATCTCAGTTCTACTAAGGTCTCTTTGGTCACTTCTATTTGCTTTTTCTGCTTTTCCATTTTCCTGGACTCAGAGAAGCCAAGAAAGTGTTTTTTACCCAGGGTCACCCACCTGATCCTCAGCCATACATATTGTCTTTAAAAAATATCATGTATAATATGGATCTATTTGATCCCTCAGACCATCCTTTTATCCGCCCATTCAGGTTGCCATCTATCCATCCATCCCTCTCTCTGCACATATTCTTGAGAAGTGTCTGGAATGGTGTTCACTAAATGTTAACAAGGTATTACATTTTGGGTAGTGGGGTTTAGGGACTTGTTATCTTCTTTTCCATATGTATTGTTTAAATTTGTACAGTGGACATCTACCATTTTTTGTTTAAGAAATAACCTTTTGTCTAAAGAAAATAATAGGGAAAAAAAGCAGAGTATTTATAGACTTAAACCTGATGTTATAGACCTCTGGGTATATGTCTCTCCCTCCTTACACTGTAAGCAACTTCAGGGTAGGGATGAAGTCCCATTCATTTTGATGCTTTACAGGTACATTGTTCCCAATAAATATATTCTCAGTAATGGGTTTTTCTAGGGCCCCCCAACTGTTTTATTGGAATGATAGTTTGGTGTTTCCTTCTAAGACTGTCTTTCCCACTCTAGGTCAGGCAAAACCTCCTCCAGCTCCACCAGGTTCCCATCTGGACCTGTTTATGCCTCAACTGTAGGGGCCACATGAAAGGAGGTAAGAGGACAGGTGGGTTTAAGAGGATCTGGATGTAATTTGCATGCAATTAGCATATGATTTGTGTCATCGATTCCCCAGAAGCAATTTTCAAGTTAGGGCTGCATCACTGCTTCCCTCATGCTGTCATGTGCCCATTTGCCTCTTCCTTCCTCCTTGCACTCATCCATCATTCCTGGATTCAGAATATTTCAAAAAGAAAGGAGGGAAAGGGAACTCTGGGTGACACTGATCAAGGACATCTGGAATCTTGACAGAGTATTTTGAGAATGACACACGAGCTAGGAGACACCTCATGAGACCTCACTGGTCCTCTAGCCCAGCATCCCTGTCTAGCCTAAGTCATTGTCCTCAGCACCAAGACAGATTCACAGTCTTTTTTCTCCATCTTTGGTCTTTATCTTGCTTACTGTGTTCAGATCAATGCTAAGACCATGGCTTCTGCTGAACAACTGCTGGCTCACTTACTAACTGAATAGAAAGAACCAGTATTCCCTAAGGTCTTTGCTTTCTGCATCTCCATTGATTTGGAGAATCTCCCATCTTCCCTGCTTCTCTTGCCCTTCACCATAGCTCTCCCTGCATTTGCCTTTTTCCTGCTCACACATATTCAGAGCAAATACAGTCCAGAGCAAATATAATTCAGAGCAAATACAACCCAGAGCAAATACAAGCTCCATACCAGAGGTGGGGAACCTTGTCTGCCGTTACCTGGAAGAGGGTAGAAGTCCATTTCTCAGGGCTCCCCAACTCTGCAGGCAGAGCTTCAGCTTCTCAGGGCTGGTAGAAGCTTCTCAGAGCTTCTCCCCTGCCTCAGTCTAAGATGCAGGCTGAGATTTTTATCTCCTGAGGGGGAGGCCTTCTCCCGAGTCTGTCTCTCCCAGGATTGGGCCCAGCCTGGGGCCTGGATTATTTACACTTCTTTGGCTCCCTTGAGCAGCAGACTCCATGGGCCCAGGAGCAGTAAATCTACCCCCTAATCACACCAAGCTGCTCTGTGCGGTCTGGTCTGTTCTTGCGGGGCTGTTCATTATGCACCGAGACAGGGGCTGTGGTCTAGAGAGAAGCCTGCGGGAAATGGCTGGCCCCTGTTGCTTCTTACTGGCTCCCTGCAAAAACCTCCACGGACTCTGCCTCTCCCAGGCCCCTGAGCAGTAAGCCCAGACGTCTCCCTTGTTAGATGGAACAGCTTCTGAATAAAGGTCACAGGTTATCAGCTCCTGCTGGCCTTCAGAAAGGAGGGATAAATGCTGGCACTTACCTGTCTCTCGGCCATGACGTACAGGTAGCGCTGATCGATGGAGAAGGCCATGTCCCTGAGGATGGGGCTTCCGTCTTTGAGCACGGAGATCGTCTCGTACTGGACCCCACCATGGGGGGGACCATCAGCTCGAATCTGCAAAAGAAACAATTGCATCCTCAGCATCTGCACTCTGCAGTTTCCTGCGGTTCCTGGCCTCAGCCCAGAGCAGGTAGCTTTACAGAAGATAATCAGCCCGTCCCACCACCACCACTTGCTGCCCTGAACCAGGCTAAGCTGCAGGGAAGACAGAGGTGCCCCTTAGCTCAGACAGACCAGCTCCACTAAGAAGAATCCTTTCGCAAGTGCTCTGAGTGTACTGAATTTGGAATTTCTAATAATGGGTTTATTTGCGTGTGTACATAATAAGCTCTTAGGTGTGATTTTTGAATATCTCTATGTGATCATTCTTGTGTGTGTATAGAACAGTGTGATAAGTGTGTGTGCAAGTGAGTATGTGTCTGTATACACTTATTTGTGTTTTGGGTTAGAGAGTCAACATCAGCACAGTCTCAGGCAGGTAAGGGAGAAGAATGGCGGGACACTCACACAGACCATCAAAAACCTGGTCATCAAGAGATTCAAGACTTTCAGGTCTCAGGAAGGTCTTTCTGCCCCCAAACATATCCCCTGAATGTCTGCAAATCCACTTGGTAATATGTGGTGCGCAGGGAATCCCAGCTCGGCCTCTCAGAGCCCAGCCCAGGGTAATAAGTCAGAAAGGACTTGAACGTCATCTAGTCCAGTGCTTCTCAGTTCTGGCTGCAAATTAGAATCATCTGGGGAGTTTTTAAAACTACGGATGCCAGGGCTGGGTCCATTCATCAGAATCTCTGTGGGTGGAGCCTAGGCATCTTTTCTGCGTTTCAAAGCTTCCCAGGTGAATCTAACGAGCAGCCAGAGTCTAGAAGCACCAGTGTAGCCCAGTGGTTCTCAAATGAGCGTGCCCTGAGGATCACCAAGGGGGCCTGGTAAACGGCATTGCTGGACCCATGCCCAGAGTTTCTGATTGAGTGGGAATAAGGCCTGAGAATTTTCATTTCTAATAAATTCCCAGGTGATGTCGATGCTGCTGATTCAGGGGGTTCGAGAAGCACTAAGGTAGTCTAAGCAATCTACATATAGAACACTGAGACTCAGTGGGGAGAAGTCCCCAGGTCATCCAGAAGTTGGTGCCTGAGAGCCCTTGGTTCAAATGTACCCCCACTCCCTGGTTCCTTGCTTCCAACATGGCAGTTGACTGTTGACCAGCATGCCCTACCTGATGGTGCATTTCTTTGTCCTGTACTCATGGAACCCCTCTAGCTCAAGCCCCACTTCCTCCATGAAGCCTTCCCCAGTCTCTTCACTGCACTCACTGCACCTCGTCTTCGATGCCTTCTTTTCCTACCAGACGTTTTGTCCTAGGATTATAATCAACTGATTTGTTCATCATATATGTATGAGCTAACATGTATTGGTGACCTATTTAACTTGTTCCCTAATTGCTTCTTATGTGCATCCGTTCGTCAACAATGTGAAGGCAGGGATATATTTTCTATTTCTCCTCTAATCCTCTAATCCTAAGGATGAAAATGGGCTGGGAACATAGCTGGGGATGGATAAAAGGGAATGTTTGAGAAATACTTGTTGAAAGGACATGAACTATATGAACCAACTGATAAAGTACTGTGGTCTCTTTAGTGCTAAATCAAAATGAAGTCAAAAGACCTTTTCTTTGGAAGATTTTAAGACTGAGACTTCCTGTCCCGACTCCTGTTCTAACCATCTCTTTCCCTCTGTCCATTCCTCCCACCCCACGGAGAGCTCCTGGGCAAGAGGACTGTGCCTTGTTCGTCCCAAGGGCTAAGCCTGGTGCCTAATGCCACAGTAAACATGTCAGGATAAAGAACAGAGGCATTTTTAGTTTCTATTGGCCAAGTAGGGATGGTCAAGAACCCTGTTTATAGCTGAATTGGGAAAGTAGGACCAGCACTTCCATTCGTATTTCTGTACCCTCTTGAGAATTGCGTACTGGAAGGGCCTGAGCCAGGGTATGGTCTGCACCTGCCAGGCTGGGCTGAACTGGAATGTGTGGGAGGTAGACTATGAACCGTTGTGCGTGGGAAACTGTGTGACACCGGGTTTTCTAGAGGCAGAAACAGCAGGTTCCTGCCTGAGGGCTTTTGCCCAGCCCCATTAAGGGGGTAAGAACAGCAGGGCAGGGCCTGGAATCAGGGATGTTGTGTTCTCACTTGCTTTGATGATTGAGTTGGGGGCTTCTGGGCTTGAGGATGAGGAGGTAACCTTAATGGGACCAAAGAAACTCTGCTCTCAGCCATTCCTACCCCAGGAACTCCCTTTGTGGGCTAGAATCTCCTGTTTATCCTAAGCTCCTCTTTTACCCCCTTTTTTGCCAGGCTAGTAGTTTCCTGCTGTTCAAAGCTGTTGCCTTGGCAACTGTCACTAAGCCCCTCCTTTCAGGGTAGAGGTCAGGGCACCATTTAATTCATTCTCACAGGGTGCATGGAGGAAGACTCTGAGGTCATCAGTGATGATGCTAAGGGGCTGAGGCTACTACCTTCCACCCTGTGCAAATCTCATTATGGATTCAAGTAGAGTGAAGAGTCAGGGTCTTTATCTGGGAAAACACCCTACATTCAATTGAATCCCCTTAACATTCAAAGGCACATTCTCCCTTAGATGGACAAATACCAAATGGACAGACAGACAGGGATCCTTCCAGAAGTGTGGCAGCATTTAGCCACACAAGTTCTCCTGCTATTGGCGGGGGAAGAGGGAAGACTTGATAGTCATGGCTTCTCGTCGGCTTGACCTCAACTTTCTGTCTCCATAAAATGGGAGTCCAGGCTCTGCTTCTTCCTCTGCAGGGGAAGCATCCCAGTGACTCTCACCACCCTCCCTGTGAGGTTTCAGTCTCCTCACGGCACTGGCTCTCCCTGGAGCTGCGGATCCTGCCTGCTCCTCCAGGCTTGGCCCAGGACCTCCCTGCCCCGGGAGGCCAGCTAACTCCTCGCCAGGTGGAGCAGCCTCCCTCCCCACAAGCCTGGGCACTTGCCTGGATTCCCAGCAAGCCCTAGATGCAAAGTCAGAAGGAGAAACACCACAAGTCTGGCCTCCCTGCTCTGGTCCCTGGGACTAGTTGGTACTGGCAGCCAGGTCGGAGCTGGGACTGGACTAGAGGCAACTTGTCATCTTATCCTCTGTGCATCCCAGGTAGGACCAGTCCCAGACACTCACCTTTTACTGAATCAGAGACCTAAGCAGATTTTTAAAAAAAAATTTCCATCTGCAACCCCAATCTTTTAATAAATCAGTTAAAGCCAGAATCAAATCTACCTAACTCTCAAATGTCAGAGCTAAGACCAAACCAGAACAGAATATGTTCTTGGAACTGAACCTGAACTAAGCTATCCTATTTCATTCAGTCTAAATCCCCAGAGGGAAAAGCAGCGCTGCCTGGGAAGCCTGAGCCTCTCCACTCACTCCCTCGTTCCACGCTATCTGCCTCCAGCGCGCGTAACCCTCCCAGGAAGATTCGGGAGGGCAGAGAAGATGGAAACTGGGGCTAGGAGGCCAGCGGGGTCAAAGGAAATGGGGTGGGGGCTGGCAGGCAGAAGGCAGGGGAGGCCAACTGGGCAGCAGAGGCCTTTCCCTTCCCAAATTCCCTTTGTTCCCTCTGGCAACCCACCGAAGGTTCCTGGGTTTCTGGTCTGACTCTGTTCTTGTCTGGGCTTGGTTTCTGCCTAACAGTACAATTTTAGGTCAGTTACCTCATCCGTCTGAGCCTCAGTTTTCCCCTCTGAATAACAGGAAGAAATAACCTGCTCAGGGCCTGCCACTGGAGAATCACAGACGTGTACGCACTGCTGGCGCTACAGGGGCTTTGGAGCACCTCTCACCTGAGCTCTTCCATTCAGGTCACAGAGCTAGAAGCGGTGGAACTGGGGCTCAGACTGGCTCCCCGCCAGCATGGTCCAGAGGAAGCGACCAGGGACCAGGGACCAGGGACCAGGGAGGAGGGCTCTGTTAGAGAGTGGGGAGGGTTCAAGCACACAATTGCCCAGATTGTTCTGTCTTAGATAGGAAGGTATGAGTTTCAAAGTTGTCCCCCATCCTTGCCAGACCCAGCCACCATGACATGTATGATTACCTGCACCTGAGCCGCCTGGGCTACACACCTGTCTGCCGGACCCTGCACTCCCTCCTCCTGAGCCTGCTGGCCCAAGACCAGGGTCAGGGTGTCCCCATGCCAGAGCCTACATTTTAAGTATCTGCTTTTCTGCAACATTAAATCCTTGTTCTTCAGTCAAAAACAACAACAACAAAAAACAAAACAAAACAAAAAAAAAAAACTGTGTCCCTAAGGCCAGGTTTCAATGACTACATGGACAACAATAAACTGAAATAGGTCATGAATCCAGTCCAAGAGAAGGTCGTTATCAGATCAAGCTGCAGAAGCCTCCGTACCCAACCGGACGGGGAAGGGTGAGGGGGTGGGCCAAGGAGGGAGGTGACGCAGACAGGCGGAGGCGAGGCACTCCAGCATGTCCTCTCCTGGGAGGGCCAGACCTCAGTGGACATGCAGAAGCTGTCCCTGTTGCTTGGGCAAAACTCAGAGTTGGGACATTGGGAAGGACATTGTGCTACAGTGGAGGGTGACAGTTTTACTGAGATTGGAAAGAGGCAAAATGCGCCTAAACTATTGCACAAGGAGATTCCAGCTAGCTCTTGCAAGAAGTCCTGTCTCGGGGAGCCCTCACTGCAGAATGAGTGACCATCAGAGGCGATTGCCACCTACGCAGGACAGGTTTGAACCCAGGGTAACCTCTTTTGCTTCACGGGTCAATGCGGCCTTGCCTGAAGGTGGTAGGATGGACTTGGTGCATTTTCGAAGAAAGGACTGTTCTCCTACAGTATTGGATAATAGCTTCCACCCTATCACTTTCACGATGTGCTAGGTGCTGTTGAATGTACTTAGCAGAAATTAACTCATGTAATCTTTACAAGCACTGCTGCAGTAAATACTATTATTATTTTCATTTTGCAGAGAGGAAATTCGAGGCATGGGAGAGTTAGGTGACTTTCCTAAGATC